AGAGTATGTAGGAGAGAAGGAGATTATTTCCCAGTAAAATTAGGCCCTGGACAGGGATGCGTGATGTCACCTTTGTTGTTCATTACATTTATAGATGGGGTTGTAAGAGAAGTGAATGCTCGGGTGTTGGCAAGAGATGTAGCATTAAGAGATAAAGAATCTAACACAAAGTGGGAGTTGTCACAATTACTTTTTGCTGATGACACTGTGTTTTTGGGAGATTTTGAAGAGAAGTTGCAAAGGTTGGTGGACGAGTTTGGAAAGGTATGTAAAAGAAGGAAATTAAAAGTGAACATAGAAAAGAGCGAGGTGATGAAAATAACAAAAATTTAGGTATTTGAGAGATTGCATATCAGACTGGAGGGAGAGAGTATGGAGGAAGTGAATGTATTCAGATATTTAGGAGTGGACGTGTCAGCAGATGGGTCTATGAAAGATGAGGTGAATCATAGATAGCACTAACATCCCATATCATAAAAATCTTTGAAAGGCTCCTAAGAAGCAAGATCACCACCCATCTAGAAACCCATCAGTTACACAACCCAGGGCAACATGGGTTTAGAACAGGTCGCTCCTGTCTGTCTCAACTATTGGATCACTACGACAAGGTCCTAAATGCACTAGAAGACAAAAAGAATGCAGATGTAATATATACAGAATTTGCAAAAGCCTTCGACAAGTGTGACCATGGCGTAATAGCGCACAAAATGCGGGCTAAAGGAATAACAGGAAAAGTCGGTCGATGGATCTATAATTTCCTCACTAACAGAACACAGAGAGTAGTCGTCAACAGAGTAAAGTCTGAGGCAGCTACGGTGAAAAGCTCTGTTCCACAAGGCACAGTACTCGCTCCCATCTTGTTCCTCATCCTCATATCCGACATAGACAAGGATGTCAGCCACAGCACCGTGTCTTCCTTTGCAGATGACACCCGAATCTGCACGACAGTGTCTTCCATTGCAGACACTGCAAGGCTCCAGGCAGACATCAACCGAATCTTTCAGGGGGCTGCAGAAAACAATATGAAGTTCAACGATGAGAAATTTCAATTACTCAGATATGGTAAACACGAGGAAATTAAATCTTCATCAGAGTACAAAACAAATTCTGGCCACAAAATAGAGCGAAACACCCAACGTCAAAGACCTGGGAGTGATCATGTCGGAGGATCTCACCTTCAAGGACCATAACATTGTATCAATCGCATCTGCTAGAAAAATGACAGGATGGATAATGAGAACCTTCAAAACTAGGGAGGCCAAGCCCATGATGACACTTTTCAGGTCACTTGTTCTATCTAGGCTGGAATATTGCTGCACGCTAACAGCACCTTTCAAGGCAGGTGAAATTGCTGACCTAGAAAATGTACAGAGAACCTTCACGGCGCTCATAACAGAGATAAACACCTCAATTACTGGGAGCGCTTGAGGTTCCTAAACTGTATTCCCTGGAACGCAGGCGGGAGAGATACATGATTATATACACCTGGAAAATCCTAGAGGCACTAGTACCGAACTTGCACACGAAAATCACTCACTACGAAAGCAAAAGACTTGGCAGACGATGCAACATCCCCCCAATGAAAAAGCAGGGGTGTCACTAGCACGTTAAGAGACCATACAATAAGTGTCAGGGGCCCGAGACTGTTCAACTGCCTCCCAGCATACATAAGGGGGATTACCAACAGTCCCCTGGCAGTCTTCAAGCTGGCACTGGACAAGCACCTAAAGTCGGTTCCTGACCAGCCGGGCTGTGGCTCGTACGTTGGTTTGCGTGCAGCCAGCAGCAACAGCCTGGTTGATCAGGCTCTGATCCACCAGGAGGCCTGGTCACAGACCGGGCCGCGGGGGCGTTGACCCCCGGAACTCTCTCCAGGTAAACTCCAGGTAAACTCCAGGGGGAAAGGTGAGTGGAGCACTGAGGAGTCTGAGGAGACAAAGAACGTTATCAGTGGAAGCGATGAGGGGAATGTACGAGAGTATAGTTATACCAACTCTCTTGTATGAGAGTGAAGCATGGGTGGTGAATGTTGTAACAAGGAGAAGGCTGGAGGCAGTGGAGATGTGGCTGACGGCGATGTGCGGTATGAATATAATGCATAGAATCCGTAGCTTGGAGATTAGAAGCAGGGGTTGTTGAGGTGGTTTGGACATTTAGAGGATGGAACGAAAAAGAGTGACTTAGAGGGCGTATATATCTGTAGTGGAAGGAAGGCGAGGTAGAGGTCGTCCTAGGAGATGTTGGAAGGAGGGCGTAAAATTTTTGGGTGCGTAGGGTTTGGACTTCCAACAGGAGTGCGTGAGTGTGTTAGATAGAAGCGAGAGGAGACAAATGGTTTTTATAGCTTGATGTGCAGTTGGAGTGTGAGCAAAGTAACATATATAAAGGGATTCAGGGAAACCGGTTAGCCAAACTTGAGTCCTGGAGGTGGGAAGAACAGTACCCGCACTCTGAACGAGGGTGTTGATATGTCGCAGTTTTTTTTTTTAACTTAATGTAGGCTCTCTGGCAAGACAGTGATGAAGTG